ATAAGGTAGTTTATATGGGCCTTGGACTTTTATTTGCTAAAACATTACATACTGATATTTTCTTTTGAATTTTATTTGGTCAAAAAATGGACACACCATTTTTCCTCCACTCCTACAGAAGATAATGATATGTTTTATATTCGTCGATATATATAGTTTGAAGCTTGGTTTGGACCAATTTCGATACATCATTTCACAATAATTAAATTTGCAGTCCTATCCTATCCTTGTCTAAGGGATTTGTTTCCTGGTGAGTGCCGTAGAAATGAATTGGTATGAAAAATAACTTAAATTGATATGGATGTGGTAGAAATTAGAATAGAATAATAAAGGAGTGAGCCGCCAATCGAGGGACACGTGTTTAGGAAGCAGCATGATGGTGAGCAAGCAGAGTGCCAAATCATCAGGCCAATTATGCGACGTGTCACAAACCCAAATCACCCACTACCCACAGCATAAGAATTTTTCAACAAAACACAAACCAAAGCCAAGGCCAATAAGAAGGGAACGCCTAACACTAATACTAATACTAATACTAATACTAATACTAAAACTCGCTGCCGTTTGGTTAAAAAAAAAAATAGAGAAAAAAATGGTGCGGTCTCTGGAGCCACTGGTGGTTGGCAGAGTGATCGGAGATGTGCTGGACATGTTCACTCCGGCGGCCGACCTCTCCGTCAGTTATGGCTCTAAACAGGTCGCTAACGGCTGCGAAATCAAGCCCTCCGCCGCTTCCGATGCTCCCACTCTTCTTATTCACAGCCCCCTCTCCAACCACCTTTACACTTTGGTATTTTTGCACTTTTAATTTCAACTCTCCTTTTTCTTTTTTCTTTTGAATGATTCTGAAATTGGAATTTTGGGTAGGTTATGGTTGATCCTGATGCTCCGAGTCCTAGTGAGCCAACATTCAGAGAGTGGCTTCACTGGTAATTATTAAACTTTTAACTTTCTGTTTCCCTTAATTCTGTTTGAATTGTATGCTGGGAAATTTTTTGATTGCTCAGGATTGTGGTGGACATTCCAGAAGGGTCTGATGCCTACAAAGGTATGCTTTAATTTTCTCAATTCTCAAATCAAATTCAAGATGATTAAAAACAAAAAGAATTAGTTCGTGGGGAGATATAATTTATTTTGTAATGCTATGACAAAGTAGTGGGAATAATTAAAATTCCGAATGCGAGAAAAGAATCTCTATCAATGTTTTGTTTAGTACCCAAATAATTAATTTAGGTCTTACACGTAGGGGGCTTTGTGGATAGACTCGATTGGGGTTGGATTAAGACGGTCCTGATTTAGATGAGGCTGTATTTGATTAAAAATTTAGTCCTAATTGCTAAATTTCAATTGTAAATTTTACTCCTATCTAAGTATTAATTAACTCAACATCTAAGTATTATCGAACGAAGTATAATTCTTCACGTTGTACATGGGCGTGAAGTCTATTTGGGCACAAACTTGGAAAACTTGGGCGTTTTCGTTGTTGTTATTATTATTTAAATATATATTTTTTAATATAGTGGGTTTCATATCTAGCCATTTGGCTTGAAAGGATAGCAAATCTAATATAAACTATTAAAATTGGTAAACATGACACAAATTTTTTTCCACACGTCTATTTAGACGTTTATTAGTCTATCAATAATTGACCCTCGTAGAGGTCTATGAGTAATATTAGTTTTTTGAAGTACCACAAATTGACGTAGGGAATTCAACTTTTAATCTCAAGAGGAGTAGTTCTCTACCTTTAACATCAGCTATTAATATTTCTCTACCTATCCTGGATTGATCTAGTAAGTCTAAAAGGGTCGAGGTAAATTTTAAAGAATTTAAGGGGTGGTCTAGTAGTCTAAAGGGGCCAGGTAAATTTCCAAATTTAGGAGTTAAAAAGGTAAATTTTAAAGAATTTATGGTGAATTCAAACCTTGGCTGCTTTCGTAATTATATCTAATATAACTTATTGACAACCAAATTTTAGAGGATGAAGTGGTTAGTCTTTCCCTAAAGGTCTAACCTACAAAATTGTTATGTAATTGCAAATATAACTTCATTTTTGCCACCCATTAAATTAATCTTTTATAATCTTCTTTCTGAATGGCCGAGATTTACAAAACAATCCTAACCAAAAATGTTCTTTTTGTAACTAAATTTTCCCTCTTAGGCTATTCATGTCTAAGAGATTTCTAAAGCTTTCTTTTGAAAATAGCTTTAAAAAAATGTAAAGAATTTGGTTTATTTCTAACCATCATGGAGCCTTTCTTATTTTTTTGGTTTTTATA